CTGTGGTGCTGTGGACCTCTCCATTTCTGCTTTCTCCTTCTCAGCCAAATTTCCCAATTGGTCTTCTTACTTTCTGCCTTCTCCTGCCCAAATATAACTTCTGTGCTTATGTTAGAATGATTTGTCTAAAATGTAAATGTGACCCTGTACTTCCTTAATTCAGTGGTTCCTCACAACCAGTACTCCACAGATTTTCCAGTAAAGTGCTACTGATGATAAAGAAGCCTTTCTAAACTGGAGTTCCATGAAAGAATTAAACCCTAATGCCATTTAGGCATCCATTGTATGCAATGTATTAACTTTTCTCCAGTGCACCTAGAATGGTTCTAGTTATGTATAGTCTTGAGACTTGCAAAAACAGTCCCTCTAATCATTTTTTGTTCTGCGGTTCAGATGAAAGACTAGAGGAGAAAGATAGTATATGTTCTTTAAGAGGTCATGAGCACAACTGGGAGCAACTTCCAGGAAAAACCTACCAAATTTCATTGAAGTCTAGAGTTTCATCTTTACATTTTTGTGTGAATATTGCATTCCGCTCATAATATGTCTACAGGTAAAAGTGTTTCTATAAGCCGGGCTTGGTGGCTTAGCCTGTAATCCCGTGCCTTGGGAGGCTGAGGTGAGTGGATTGCCTGAGCCCGCGGGCTCGAGACCCGCCTGGGCAACTTGGTGAGACCTCATCTCTACAATAAACCAAAAAATTAGCTGGGTGTGGTAGCGCACGTCTGTAGTTCCAGCTACTTGGAAGGCTGAGGCGGAAGGATCGCCGGAGCCCAGCAGGTCAAGGCTGCGGTGGCCAGGAGCGACCACTGCACTCCAATCTGGGCGACAGAGTGAGACTCCAACTCAAAAAAAAATAAAAACACTTTTTTTTTTTGAGTCAGAGTCTCACTCTGTTTTTATTTTGAGTCAGAGTCTCACTCTGTCGCTCAGGCTAGAATACAGCTTCACGCTCACATCTACAGCAGCTTCGGCCTTCTGGACTCAGGCAGTCCCTCCACCTCAGCTTTCCAAGTGGCTGGAACTACAGGTGCACGCCACCACGCCTGGCTAAATTTTCAAGTTGCCCAGGTTGGTCTCAAACCCCTGGGCTCAGGCAGTCCTCTCGTCTCCCAAAGTGCTGGGATTACAAGCATGAGTCACTGCACCTAGCCAAAAGTGGTTTTTTTTTTTGTTTAGTTTTTTGAGTTGGAGTCTCACTCTGTTGCCCAGACTGGAGTGCAGTGGCACGCTACCGGCCACCGCAGCCTGGACCTGCTGGGCTCCGGCGATCCTTCCACCTCAGCCTTCCAAGTAGCTGGAACTACAGGCGCGTGCTACCACGCCTGACTAATTTTTTTTAATTTATTTATTGTAGAGATAGGTCTTGTCAAATTGCCCAGGCGGGTCTTGAACCCGCGAGCTCAGGCCATTCACTCACCTCGGCCTCCCAAAGCACGGGATTACAGGCTGAGCCACCGAGCCCGGCCCCAAAGTGTTTTTTTTTTTTAATATTTATCAATGAGTAGAATTGATTCTATAGGAGCACTTGCTTATGGTTTGTGGAACTGCAAATAGCTATCTTTTTTCTTTTAAGCCTTGTAGTGGGCATTTTATATGCATTATATTGTTTAATGTCTCTAGGAAAATTGTCCAAGATTACACAGTTAATAAAATGTCAGAGTCAGGGCACTAACCCAAGTATTTCTCAACTCCAAAGTCCATGTATTTTCTACCACTTGAAACTAGATTGAGAGAGTCAAGATTCTGGAAGTCTTTTTGCCCGATTCTAAGTTTATCTTCACAGGAATGTTAAGATTTTTTTTCTTGGTCAAGTTACTATTGTGGTTCAGATCATGCATAATTCCATACTTGTGCAGAAGACAACCAACCCTTGATTATCCAAAAGAAAAATGAGCAATGGTGGTGGTGATTCCATATAACAAGGAATCCTGCCTCTCTTTGGTGGCTTTGAAACAAATAAAGTGATTTTAAAACATAGCAGGTGTACTTTTTAATTGTTTTGTATTGATGGATATTGACATAATGTTATTTATTGAGTATTTTCTAGCTGGTTATGGGAGCGACTTTTTGGCAAAAAGAAGCCGTCTTGCTATTGTAAACTTGATTACAGGTAAACCCTACCTAGATAACCTAGAGTTAACTCTATTTGTTTCTGCTTACCCAGGGCACTTGGAAAAGCATAAATGTTAAAGAACCAAGGTGTTAGAATTTGCTCTCTACCCTCAGTCTAACCTTTCTAATTTCTATTAGATGTCCAGAGGGAAAGTCTGGAATATCCTGTCAGTGGTCACATTCAACATAGAATCTCAAGGTGGTCTGGCTCTTTTAGCTCCTCTGAGAAGCTAAAACAAGTACTCAAGTAATTACTAATGGAGGGAGCCACAGTGACTGTTTTCAGTCATTTTTTGCTATACCCCAAACTTCTGGTTCTTCTAGAAAGTTTGACATTTGGGAATCTCAGGGCATCTAGAGGATGGTGTACAGAGCCCTACACATTTATTTGCAAGCTCCTGCCTTCTTTCCTGTTCTAAACTCTCTTTTCACCATCTGTTACTAAAGATTGTGTCTCAGTGCCTGATACCCTTTCTTTACATTAAGTAAAAGAGGGAAAGATGCTGGGCTCGGTGGCTCAGCCTGTAATCCCACGCCTTTGGGAGGCTGAGGTGAGTGGATTGCCTGAGCCCGCGGGTTCGAGACCCGTCTGGGCAGCGAGACCTCATCTCTATAATAAATAAAAAAATCAGCCGGGCGTGGTAGCGCATGCCTGTAATTCCGGCTACTTGGAAGGCTGAGGCGGAAGGATCGCCGGAG